AGTGATGTTTTGAATGAATTCACATATGTGAGTCTGTAGTGCCTCCACATATATTCGAGTTCGTTTACATTTAATTTGGTTAAGCCCTTTCGAATAATTTATTTAACCAAGCCATTTGTATTGCAACAATTTATATGTACCATTCGTTCTTATTATTGTCTGGTTTGTATGAGCTCACATCACGTGTCCCACTCGTCGTTTGACCCTGTCAACTATTCGTCACTTTTATTCATGTGTTAGCATGCCTATTTCGCTTGTCACATGTCTGTCTTATTATATTTGTATGATTATATATATTATTAGTCACGCTCTATCTCAAGGAGTTGGCTCTTTAGCCTTCTCCGACGCGCTTCGCCTGTTCATTCGCTTCCTTCGCCCATTTGTTCGCATTGTAATCCTAGGAGTTGGCTCAACAGCCTTCTCCAATTCACGTCGCTTCTTTCGTTCTATTCACTGCTTCTCCGCTTCGCTTTGTGGTGTGTCCAAAAATAAACGTATTCATCACTTTGTGTTCATCCTCTGATTTATAAACCGTCAGACGCTATTTAGTAACTATTGTCTGGACGAGTTAATTACCGAGCTTAAGAGCACACAATAAACCGACACACTACAAGTCAAACAGTATGAAATAACATGTTGTGTTGTCCCACAACTGTTAGATAGATTATCAGACCGAACATGTTATTTCATTTTTCCGACTCAATTTGTACACCGGACGATTGTTAATGTTACTTTTTGTGAAAGCTTCACCGACATGATTTTATGTGTAGCAATCGGATTTCTATATAAAAGTACTCGTCATGTTCCATATCATAAAACATATTATTCAGTCAAATCTTTTTATCATCACAAGTAAGATGTTTCAGCATAAATTCGCTTATATCGGGACTTCAAAACTGCTTAGTTTGCTAAATTTAACTGTTATAACTCAATAACGGTTTCGTAATTAAACATTCAATCGTTATTGCATTCGAAGATGCCTCCTACAAACTGAGTAAGTGATGATGTTATGACTCGGACATAAAACGTTTATTTCCAATGATCAGAGTGAATGTCTTCAGATTGTATTTGTTTTAATGAATGAGTTGAGTGTGAACATATGTTTCACATGAATAAAATCTCTCTATACATGAGTACATTTGAACTGGGAATTCTAGATTACCTGATCACAAGGGATTGACACCATTCATTAGAAGCAATATTCCATTGCCTCAGTGTATGAATATTGTGAATACTAGATTTCTGTGAATGTCGAATTAAGATATAAAAATGTTTGAGGTATTTTAGTGTGTTTGTGTTCAATGAAAAGCTGTCAATATTTAAATTATCAACTACGTAATTTGAATTGGATAACGTACAATTTGGAGTGGATTAGACAATCCACCTATTGGAGAATTTTTCTTGTTATATTTAACAAAACTTTATTTTGTAGATAGAATGTGTAAGAAGTGACTTTGACAAATCAAATCGTTAGTAATTGTTGGGGATGTTACATCCCCAGAACTCGCTTGATCAATCCCTTATTTCGGATTTCACGTTTGCCAGCATGGGCGGATCAGTTGACCTTGAGATTTCATTTCCCACCAAGGGAAAATCCATGGCTATGATTGGCTGCTGTGTATTTTAGTGTGCTATTTTCGTAACTGTCCCAAGGACGTTTCCATGATGTATAAATAAACGAGAGTTGTATGCTTGATTGTATTGTGATTGCTGGGTGTTTGTAGAATATACTTTCTACGCTTTCAAAGCTTTTAATCTTCAGCTTGGGATTCAAGGTAGCCTATCTGGACGTTGGTTCATTGTCTCATTCGCGTTTTATCGTCTAAGGTGAAGCCGTAATTAGCTTCAAGTGTACCAAGTGACGAATCCTACAGTAATCAAATAGTATACCTAAATACTGATTACAGACTATGTCTACTTAACACAGCTGTAAATGGTTTTTATTATAAGTGAAGTTTGACGGCATTGATACAATTTTCAGTTCTGCAATTCGTTTCACAATGACCATGTTGTGCTCATCTGATTTCCACTCAAATGTTTTGTACATAGAATGAATGTGTGCCAAAACCTCTGCATGTTGTCATGTTATACAATATTATTACACTGGTTCCCTTCTTCAATTCTGTTTTCATAGATTTCCGATTCAAAGAATCATTGTTTAATTAAATTGAATAAAGCATTTGGCCGTACTTTAACTCCAGAACAAGTTTATTCACTTTGTGAGTTATGATACAGTGTGTACTTTGCTCCATTTGTTAACTGTTGATCAATCCACTTTCACTCATATACAGACAGACCTTCATGTTTCTATTTATTCGACGTTAATCAACAGGAGAGAGATAACTGAACATCAGGTAAATTTGTTATATAATCAATGAGTTGTATAACAAGTCCTGAAGAGTTGAAATTCGAGGGATAGAATGATGACATCAATGAAGACGATAGTGGTATGAGCAGACGTTCTCGCTCTCTCTTTGTCTCTCTGTTTTATACAAGTCTTTCCTCATCTACAGTACTGTAGATTTGTGAATCTAAAGTGACGCTCACACCATGAACTAACACCCAGTAAACAACTATTGAGAATCAGAACTCACTCAACATCTGTTTCTTTCCAGTAGTGTACAATGCACAATGAACATATACCACTTGACTATGAGTGACACAACAAAGGAGCATTAGATGTGATGTAGAGCTGTTCCTCTGTGGATTGACGATTAGAATGGTGTCCAATGGTTCACACACCTTTGGTCGCTGCGCACTGTTTATGCAACCATCTTATAATGCCATTAGTAGGTAATTGCTTCATATCTGACTTGGTTGAACTCCATTGATGACAGCTTTGCATACGAACGTAGTAGTCACGTTCGGACAACAGTCAGTGGTGAATATACCATGATTTGTTGAACATTTTACACTTTGCCTACATAGTTCACTTGAAATGTAAAGTACAATTAAGATTGAACAATTGTTTTCATTACACAAGAATAACATGTACAAATGTAATTGACATTCGAAATTCAATTCATAAATTCATTGATGACAGTTTGTAAGATTGACGTGTCTTTTATTAACTAATTATTAGTGAGATACCACCATCCATCATCTTCATTGTGTTTGTTTATCAAATGAAGTTGGTTGACTTTTAAGTTTTAGATTTATTGTGTGGGTATTTGAACTGCCAGTAATAAAGTGCATTGAGCATAATTCGAAGTGAATTGAATGTTTCACAGTGATGAATATATCTTCATCGTACAAAACAGTACATCAAACCAATGGTTATTTCTGATGCTTTAGTGTTAGCGATGAGACATGTAGTGCCTACATTCCATCTTTATCGAGGATACTACGACTGTCCAGTGTTTCTCAGTTTTCAATGATACTTGAAGTAATATCGATCTCTAACTAACAGAACATCCAACCAATAGAACCAACCTCCTTCAAATTTATGCAACTGAAGAGTACTGTATGATTGTGTGACAACCAGTGTTGCAAAGTCACTATAATTTGTTCTACAAATCTGAACAGTTCATCTGATTGTGAATAGACGTTAACAAAATAGTCACCGCACTCCTCACCCTCCACTAAATCACACACTTCAATTCAAAGTTCATCTTCACGCATAGACTATCACTTTGAAAATGATAAATATCATTCAATCACTCAACATTAATCAATGGTGACTGACTGAATCTAAATGGATAGTCGACCTGTTCATAAACGAACAGTTTACAAATTCGAAAATCCGAAATTATTAACTGACAATTTGACCTCAGTGAATATTGTATGCACTTTTAGTGAAGATGCTCATTGAATTTTGAATGTGATATTGAAACAATGATCATAAGGAAGTCATGATGCATGCATTGGTTCATTTGATCACTGATATAATGTGTAAATATTTCTATCTGTGAATAAGTGTTTACTATGGATCGATGGAATGTTTTTCTCTACTGCTCACTTTCACTATTCATGCATATTTTGAAGTCACATAGAATTACGTTGATTTGTTTCACAATAGAATAGACTATCTCATGAATTTATTCTGAATAGGGTGTACTTTGATGAACTGTGACATGCAGTAGGAAAGTTTCTGTCTGGCTGATCAGTGATAAAGATGATTCATGTTTCAGTAAATGTTTTGTTATCTTAGTATCCTCATTATCACGTTGATGGTTTTCTAAACAAAAGGAGGATGGCGAAGATTTGTGATCGAAATGACAAATGAGCTGAGAGAACATGAAACTATCGAAAAATGAATCGATGCTCCTTAATGCATTGCAGGTGATAGCAATATATTGAAACAGTGAAAACACTGTGTGAGGTAGAAATTGAGTTTTCAAATTGATTGGCTAACTTGGTTTATCTGTTAGACCAATCGTATTAAGTTGTTTCGTAGATTACAAGTCTTCGATCATCGATGTCTCCGAAGCATTGCTCGTGTATCATGGGACAACCGTATAAGCAATGCTGTCGTTAAGAGACGAATTCTAGGTAGAGATGGCAAATCCATAGATGAAGTAGTGAAACTTCATCAGTTGAGGTGGTTGGGACATGTGTTACATATGCCTAACCACCGACTGCCACGACGAACCATGTTTTGTGGTGTAGGAAGAGATTGGAAGAAAGTTAGTTGCGGCCAAACCAAAACATGGCAGAAATGCATGAAGTCAATGACAAGTGGACTGAGCCATGTTGGTAGATATAGGCTATCTGGTTAGGGTCCACGAGAAGATAGTCACCGATGGTTAGAGACCTTGAATGAATGGCTCAGGATCGTTTGCAATGGGGCAGGTGCATCCACTCTTTGTGTTCTATGAAATTCTAACCTTCTGAGTTCCTCATCATCTCTGTCTTTCTCCTTCTAAATTTATCTTACTGAATTATACTTCTCGAATCATATCTTTGCTCCCTTCTAAATTTATCTTACTGAATTATACTTCTCGAATCATATCTTTGCTCCCTAATCTTCGCCATTACTTCTAATACTTCTACTATCGCTATCACTCTTGGATTTGAACTGACAGTTGTGTCTCTGTGCTAATGCGTTATGGCAACCTGAACTAATGTACTTACGTACGAAGTTCTGCGTTGTATCTGTCTGTCTGTTTTACTCCATGTAGGATAATTTCATGAATACCAATTAGCACTTGTCGAATGATCTCATTCACTTTGAGTGCTAATCCTTGAATAACTGTTGATGTCTATAAAAAAAGATTGCTTCCATTGCGTTTACTATTTCCATCCTAACATGATATTTGAAATGATTGTAAGCTGAGAGTGAATATATCTGACCACTCATTCTCTACATTGAAGAAGTTTAAAATAAATGACAACTGTTTCCGTCATCCATTCAGACATCAGTATAATGTGGAGGAAATATGGAGAAAGTTATCGGTACATCAACCATGCTATCTGTTTATCTGGAAGGATTATGTTGACAGCAAAAGTCAGGTGATGATTTTGACGAAATAGAATATTCAACCCATTTTATTAAATACATTTCGATATATCTGGCTTGTAATGACTGAGTTATTCTCAAACTCATCTAACAAACTAGATTATTCTTGATTCGAACTACCAATCTGTTAGTTTGCAGGTGAAGTTGTTCACTCTTAGTTTATTTACTCTTTTCAAAGTATGATCTGACCCGATTGTGATTTAACATTTCACAGGTATCAAACCATTTCTCGGTGCAGATCCTACCTACAGTGTTAAACTTGCACAAAGTTATATCATACAACTTGGTCGTATTTTAAATTGGTATGTAGAATATGGTGCAAAAGAGTTGACATTCTGTCGTTCCTCACTTTTACTAATTCATGAATCATTGTTCAGCGATGACAGTCGAACTGATGATGATCGTACTCCCAAATCATCATTGAGTGATGGGAACAAGCCCGATGTAACTATATCTTCCCATGAAATCACTAGTAATCATGTTGATAAGGGCAATACTACAGCCCATACGGCAGTTTACTTGATCGATTTTGTACGTTGGAAAGCAAAAACATCTACTCTGGTCAATGATGACGATGATGATGAGAATGGTTGTGGCAAAGATTGTTGGAGTTGTGAATTAACTGATGGTTTTCGACATGGATTAGAAACTTTAATCAAATTGATGAAACGTGTGATTGATGGAGACAATACAAGCGAAACAGAACATTAATTAATCAAATTGACTAGTTCTATTTTTATGATTACTATAATTTTACAGATTGTTATTTGTTCAACTCCATCCTCTATTCATCGATATGCGCACACTTCACAGTTTTATATTCTCGATTATGACATGACATTGTGACTTATTCACATTAACTGTCTTCCATGGATTCTCTGAATCGTATTACGTTTGTTGATGATATTTAATTGCACCTGACTGTGTTGTAATCGATTTCTGTAGAAAATTATTGATTTTTTGAATTTTTCACTAATCCTTATTCTCAATGACTTGAGTTTTTCTTTGCGTCAATACATTTTCTTCACCAAGTTTGATACTAATACAGATCTATTTCTCAAGTGCTTGTTAATTGATAATTAGACAGTGTTAATTGATTCAATGAAGGTCAGTTTATCTCATTGCTGTTTGGTTGAAGGAGTGGAGAAGGAGAGAATGTGGATTTCAGTTGATTATTGATTTTTCAGTTCATTTAAGTATATCATGCAATCGAATTGATGAAAATGTTCTAGACTAAGTTTGAATTTCACCCAGTTGTTATGATTCAACGAATCTCACATCATAGTAACCTTTGACATTCGAAAGGAAGCATATATTTGTTAATCAGAGGTAATTAATAGTTGAGATGATAGCGCTTTAATTAGATTATACAGTTGGTGGAAAGTGTAAGCAATTAGGTGGGTTGATTTTGATGGTTCTACGATAGCGGTGTTGGAACACGGAGCGGTGTGATGGCTAAGATGTGTGTCTTTTTGCAGTGTTGACTAGCATTTAGCCGAATTGCACTGACTTGCCCCGATGAACAGCTGACTGAGTGAGTGTGTTGGTTGTTGTGCGGATGGAGATAGAGGAGTGAGTTATTTTTGGCTGTTTGTATTTACGTGTATGCGTATGTATGTACACTCAAAGGTACATTTTGTTAGTTCAGTCTACGCAGAAATCATCTGCAGATAAAATATATCAGCATTGACGGAACACATTTACTTAGCAAAATATGAACATGCACACTTCAAACGTTGATTTGTAATTGGTGTTGCTTCCTGGCAGTCTTCTTGCACATCACGTCTCATCTTCAAAGTACACTGATCATGTTGTTTATTTAAATTTCTTGATGTTCTTCACTCTGGTAGCAACCTCTAGGCTACGCTTCTCCATATACCACTTGCTAGCCATTTAGTGAGTCGAATGAACCAGGATAGTTAAGCTAGTGGTAGTTTGTATAGAGATTCGGTGATGTGTGCGGTGGCTGATTGATAGATTCTGTTTTTGATTAAGAACAGGTTTGAATGCGTTCAGTTGTTTGCAGTGGCATGTGATATTTCACGAATAGTGTTTGAGTGTGTGGTTTTCTTCTCATCAAGGAGTATGTAATTCATTTCTCAGTGAGTTTGTGTATGTTTTCACTGAATCTTTTTTGACGTACATCTTCTCTTCCCCTATTTATATGTTCAATGTAAACTGTAATAGATTTGAAAATCAGTGTTCCTTCAAAACGGAATCATTTTTGTTTGAAAACGGATATTCCGCGTATTAATTTGTGGGTTATTCAACTATTTGCTGATTTTGAACAGTAATTATATAAGAAGCATGAGTAAAATGGTTTGAAACATAGTCACAAAGAGTGAAAACATATTAGTGACTGTTTCGCAGATGGCATGTGTGGAAATGTAGTGAGATCATTCTAAACACTCTCGGTAATCATCAAACTAACTTTGACTTTGTTTGAGTTTGCTTACTTACTGTGTCTGTGTGACCTTCAAATATTTCACAATTTCGGTAATGTTTATCAGTCTCTCAGTTCATTAACTCGAATAAATACTCACGAATTAGTAGATTATTGAGGATTTTTTAAAATAATCTAACGATCTATACTACCTTACGAAATAACTCTTAAGTTTCGTTGACATAAGAGCAATCAGTCTATTTTGAAGTAGTATAGTAACAAGCATAATTGATTACTTATGTGACCTCCAATTAAAAATCAAAAAAATTTTGTTTCTTTGTGACGTGTTTTTGCGTAATTACAGTAATATTCAATCGATTGTGAACGTAAATTAATCGCTTGGTTTATTTCGCCACCTTTATCGTAAGAATAGTAGTGTAAAACGTTCAATTTCCTGCTCTATTGGGCATGGTCTGTGATTCAGAGATTTGATAAGTGTTGCAATATTCCGTTCAGGCCGTTGGTCATTACGTAAGACTATTTACTATAGGATTTAATTCTTTAATACTAACAGATTTATATATTTCCTCTACACATCATTGGTGCCTCCTCCTGTGCAGAAAATTTATTCAACTTAATGAACACTATTTTTGGTGATTATCTCAGGAGCAACGTTCTTTCACTGGTGCTCTAGAATACGCAACATGAGTGTTACGACTGCACGTAAACACGTTAACTTGATATGCTTGAATTATTACGAGTTTACTTATTCGGAAAACGAGAGCAAAGATCCGGTGACACGACATGCTACTCAAATCCGATTATCCCAACCCCCATATTGAGTAAAAGACAAGACTTGATATGAAGTGGAACCTGTATTCTACAAGCATCCAGAAAGTACGAGATCCGAGTCCAGAAGAGAATCAGGATCCCGGACTAGGGATCCGGGTCCTGGTCATAAAACGTTACAGATAATGCGTATTTATACATTTTGGTCGAATAGGAAACAGCATCGAATTCTGTGACATTGACAGTTAAGACGACCAATAGGAAGCAACATTTGAAGTGACACTGATAGTCAGGACAACCAATAAGAAACAACATTGGAGCACGGGACATTGATATCTAGGACGACCATAAAATTGACCAGTAGGAAGTAACCAATAGGAATAGACCAATAATTCTCTTAGGATATTGGATGAATATCCTAACAATGGGGTTAGCTGTACTCCTTCTCCAGAGTTCTTCAATGTTCAGTGTCACGTTACTGAGGTACGAAATCATCGGTACATTTTCACAGTCCTGCTAGATTACTTGGATTTACTGTGCAAATGAAATTTCCTGCTCAACAATTAGACTGAGAAGTCTGCATGTGTTGTAGTTTTAGCTACTAGGTGTTAGATGGCAAAATCATTGGCACTTAATTGTAAATTGCATCTGTGGACCATTTCGGCAGACGATTGATGAGGTGACTTAGTTAGGTAGTAAATAAATTTAAAAACCTGATGATCAGTTAAATCGTGGAATTTTACACCATAAGACAGGTATTTATACAATCTTCTTACTGTCCATACCAGAGCTGAATAGTGTGTCGAGATGAAAATAAGAAGTGTTCCGTTCCGGTATAAAAACTCATCTAACCCCATTCGAGATGTATCTGTAACGAGGATAGATTTTTCAGCTGTGGAAAATGATCTGAGAAAGGCTTCGTTCGATACACACTCGTCAAAAAGGGGAGGTAAAGTCTGTATGAAATTTGGAATAAACCTGGGATCTGAGTGCTGAGATACTCGTAGTTTGTGATGCTTAGGTTCGGGGAGCTAGGCCACTCTTACTTACTTACTTACGCCTGTTACCCCCAATGCAGCATAGGCCGCCCACCAGCTTCCTCCAACCAACTCTGTCCTGGGCTTCCCTTTCCAGTTCTGTCCAATGTTTGTTCATTCCTCTCATATCTTTCTCTATTTATCGTGTTCCTTGGCCTTCCTCTTTTTCTTTTGCCTTGAGGGTTCCATGTAAGGGCTTGTCTTGTGACGCAGTTAGGTGCTTTCCGCAATGTGTGTCCTATCCACTTCCACTGCTTCTTCCTGATTTCCTTCTCTACTGGAATCTGGTTTGTTCTCTCCCACAATTCGTTGTTGCTGATGGTGTCTGGCCAACGAATACGAAGTATTTTGCGTAGACAACTGTTAATAAATACTTGTATCTTCTGGATGTTTAGAACTTTTAACATCAATAGTATAGCCTAGATAATTGAAAATGAAACTTGAATAGATTTACAGCCATATTTGTATCACAAAGGCATAGATATATATAAGATTTGTAAATGATTCATTAAATCTCCGCTCGCCAGTGATCTTCTTATATACAATGAATTTAATTTTTGAAAAAATGCAAATTCAATTGGATTAAGCATATAACTTTATATAAGGGGACAAAAACATAACCTTTACTCCCTTTTCATTAAAAAACATTTTTCGTAGTATTGGAGTGATAGATCCGTGCATTATATATCAAGGATAAAAATGTAATTCTTAAAAATTGATTTTTGATTGCATCATTTTTCAATCAATTGATCAGAAAAAAAATATGAATGGATGAACTTATCGGAGATCATCACTGAACCAGAAAAAAATGTTTGAGCAAAAAAAGAACTACATTTTCTATTATTGCACATATTATCAAACTTACATTTTAGTTCCACGTGTTGACGGAACCATGCCATTTGCTGGTTTTCCTCTTGTGCATAGATCTTCTCAAAGTTCTTTCCAAATATATAAATTAATGAATGATTCATCAATAAAAACTTTTATATTAAGGAGTCTTCGATATTCACTGAAATATTGCGCATATATCTGTCGTTTAATTTTACTTGATTCTAAGTTGATATTAATCGATGTTGTTACGCCTGCAGGTAAACACGTTAACTTGATATACTTGAACTATTACGAGTTTATCTAGTCGGAAAACGAAAGCAAAGATTCGGTGACACGACATGCTACTCAAATCCGATTGTCTCAACCCCCCCCCATTGAATAAAAGAAGAAGACTTGATATGAAGTAGAACATGTATTCTACAAGCATTCAGAAAGTACGAGGTCCGAGTCCAGAAGAGAATTAGGATCCTGGACTAGGGATACGGGACCAGGTCCTGGTCGTGGTAAAAAAAACGTTACAGATAATGCTTATATATAGATTTTGGTCGAATAGGAAACAGCACTGAATTCTGTGATATTGACCTTTAAGATGACCAATAGGAAGCAACATTGGAGCACGTGACATTAATATCTAGGACGACCAGAAAAATTGACCAGTAGGAATGAACCAATAGGAATTGACCAATAATTCTCTTAGGCTATTGGATGTATATCCTAACGAATGTATAAGATCATTTTAAGGATTTTACAAAATGTCGAAAAATGCGGTGAAAATTTAAAAACAAACGAGTTGAACAACTCAACATAATCGTTACGAAACTGAATATTTTCACTATAAACTTAATTATGATATGATTGAATATCATAAAAAAACG